CACCGCAGCCAAAACAGCAGCCGTTGAATATGCCTGTAGGTCAAATGCAGAATATCTATACCCTATAATCTATTCCCCATTCCTTGGCTTTCTTTTATCATTTATTAATTTACAAAAACATCACAATCTGTTTTTTGAGAGAACAAGTCTGACACTGTCCACGTTGACACCACAATGTCATTCTTTAAATGCATATTCTGGTCCCCGATCCACGTTCTAAATCCAGCTTTAAATCCTGCTTCAAAAGCTGTCAGAGCGAGAATTCACTCCATTTCTCACTTTCTCAGACTAGATCCCATTAAGGTTTGGCGAATACACGCAGAGGTCTCTGCTGCTCTCTTGATGAACACTAAGGGAGAGCTTCTCCATGCTGCTCCAGACAATGCCAATAATGTAAATATGTGGCTGAAATGTTCTCTAGGGGAGCCCACAAATGCTTTCGTCCTATTAGAGTGCCCAGCTAATTGCGAACCAGCTGCCACACTTTAAAAGAGCAGAATTGTTTCTTGATAAATTCCCTACATGTCTGCACACCGGCACAGCTGCAGAGAGCCAAAAACATGAATTGCGAAGCCTCCGTAAAGCAGAGGTGCCACTGAGACCAGCATGGCTAATTGGACGGTTTGGCACCAGTGGGGGATTCAAGGCGATCATTCGGATTTAATCAGCTTCACTTGGCACTGCTTAGAGCGCTCATAGATTTGCTTGTCAGCGGAATCTTCTGGCAGTGGTCGGGTTGGGGGAAGGACGTTTGATGTGACAGCTTCAGATCTGGGTTTGGGCACGTGATCATGCTGCTACTTCCGAAAGAGACACTGAACTCAGCTCCACCTTTAGTCAAACAAACAGGGTAAGAAAGAGAAACAGGGTCGCCAACTCTCATGCTTCCGGCATTATACACACACTTTCAGATTCACACTCACGCAAGAAATCTTCCATTATAAACCTAAAATTAGCTACATCAAAAGCGTTGTGGTAGTTTGCAAACCCTACAGACTATTTGCAAGGTAATAAAACTGTTAAGATCATATAAATATGCGTGCTTGTGCATGCAGACTTGTCTTGAATTGAAAATCTCATGCCAGTCAGCTGACCAAAGTTGGCCACCCTGGGGATCTGCTATGAGGTTTCACATAAATGCCTCCCATAGTGGATCGAACCTACTGCCTAACAATGTTCACGTAGCAAACATGGGCCTGGAACTTTGCAGAAGCTGAGGCCTTACAAAGCACCTCCAGAGGTGTCCTGCTCACCTGGATGACAACACCAGGAAGATTCCCCCAAATTCTGCTCGTATCAGCTTGGCACATCTGCCTATTTGACAAATCACTAAATGACATCATCGTGTTTTTACGCTGAACTAGGGCTGGGCGATATCACATCGACATTATATCGCATGTGTGCAATAATCACCAGGGCTTCATTTGGCTGGATGTCACCTTTTCGGTACTACATGGACATTTATTTACGCCCACAATCTGGTAAG